GTTGCCAATAGCGCTTTTGTCTCCTAGCAGAGGTGGGTTCATGACTCGTCAAAGCTCCACCAGAAGACGTGCGCGTAGCGCCCGAGGTCTTTGACGTCCAATCAATCCTGAGTTTATAGAGGGATGCAGTAATGGTCCTCCTAAGCCTGAAGGCCTCCACCAGACCACGACAACTCTGGAAAATGCAGTTATGATTGTATTACGTGAGGGCTACTGCCACGAATTGAAGTGGTCTCTTTGTGGTCACAGCGAGTATGAAGGGCAACGGTCGTACATTAGAATCTTTTTTACCCCGGCGTATCGTATAACTATGCTTGGAAACAAAGTGTTGCTGACATTTTTAAGTGCTTTTGGATGCACTAAATACAAACAATGACTTTGTTGGTTACTGGTGGGGTGGTCGCCAAGAAGAAAGTTACTGTTGATCTTCAATTGATAATGAAGGAAGTATTCACAGACCTCGAGATGGACAAACGGTATGACCTATTAGGTATATCGTGGCTTGAGAAGCATGGTTGAAAACGATTGTGAAAAGCTCACCTATCTTAGGTGAAGTCCTTGGAAGTAGTAAGCCCACATTTGCTGTGCACCAGAAGAAGCGCTCAAGCGCTTGGACGATGTTTGCTGACGGTAACGATCCATACTATGGATCATGCAATTGACAGATTCCCAGATTAAGACTCATACGAAGTCGTCTGGAGTGACATCTGATGGTAGGTGCTCGTTCAATAGGTCAGGTGGTGTCCAGAACTGACCGCTTGAGAACAAATTATTCGTTGGTGACCATGGCGATTATGGTCAACGGAAAGAATTTATAAAGGAGTGCTGCCGGTTAATGCCATCCCTCAAGACAGAAACTTTTCTGTGCTTGATGGAAAGTCAAAGGAACCGACTCCAGCTGTATACGCCAATACTCGCTAATATAGTGGACGCGTCGGATTTTTGGTCATTGGGTATGACTGATCACCAAGGTGATGCTCCCTCCCGTAGTGTGGTTAAGCACACACGCGCGAAAAATTCAACAAAATTTATTGATCGCGGAACTGATACTCCCGCTCTGGATGCAATCGTTTTCGATATAGCTGATATAATATGGGCTAGCCCATAATCAGGACGACATGATAATGCGTCAACTAGCATGTTGAATTTCCCCGGCTTGAACGCGATCCTGAAGTTTTAATCCGTTAGGAATGACAACAAGCAAGCCATCCGCTGAGACAAGTGAGGTGACTGAACTGCATATCGCAAGCTTGCGAGATCTCAAGAGGTGAACACACAATTTCACCGGAGCATTATCCATTGCCAAATGCTCCTTGCCGTGGACAGGGTAGTTTCTTTCTGCTGGCTTCAGCTGTTGCAATGTAACGACACGACCCGATCGTGTCCTTCTGAGTCATTTTGCAATAGTGCACAACAGATTGCAAACCCCGAAAAGCCACCCACCACGCAACACGGCTAAAGAAAGTAATGATGCTTCCATTTAACTGTTTTTGATTTAGGTTATTGCTTCTTCACAAGCGGATGACCACTTCCATGGTACGTACACCTTCATCAAGTTTGATATTAAGCGGTCGGACAGAGTCCGAGGCATCTCGGGCACGGCCCTTCAGATGCGCGTGGAGTGGCACGTTGTCCACTGGACGAAGGCTGCGGGGTTAGCAGCTCTTCGTCGGATGTTGGAGATAACATCGGAGCTCCAAAGGTGCGAACAGTGAGGGTGACACCAAACGACGCGGAATGCGTTGTTCACCCTGGTCTTAACGAGACATAGAAACTCTGTACAGAGGCGACGGCGACGCCGTATGCTGGCTGCAAGACGCCGGGCGTCGACCCTGATCCAGGGTGTGTCTGCCGTAGACGATGTTGCACAGTTATACACCCTCGTCAATGATACGACGGGGGAGGAAGATGGCGACGTCCGCCTCGATGCTATGCCTGCAGTATATGCTCTTCTTGAGCTGGACGAGATATCACTTACACTGTTTGGCAGTGCCTTGAAGGCAGGCGATTTGTGCGAAGTGGTCATTGTACGACCGCACGAGGAGATAAACTCGCCGTTGCTTCTGGATGAAGATGTCTTGGAGGACACCAAGAGAGAGCTGAACGCACGAAGTGGATCGTCGATCCTACGGAATCCCTTGGATCCGTACAATCCTTTGGTAAAGGAATTTCAAGACGTAGTCTATAAAGACCCGTCTTCGCTTCTACCTCCGGACCTAGTTGCGCGTCATGAGATCAACTTGGTTTCGGAAACCAAATACTGTGTAACACGCCAAAGGCCCCTGCCCATAGAGCAGTGCGACGACATTGACCCCTTTTTCCGTGCGAAGCACGACGCAGGGATAGTACGTGAGAGCAAGTCTCCCCATTCGACACCCACGTTTTGTGTTCGGAAGCCGAAAGGCAAGTGACTTATTGCTCATGCTTACAATAAGCTCAACGCTGCCACCATTCCGGCACAGACGCCGATTCCTA